TGAGTCCAGGAAAACGAGCACGTCCCCGGTAGCTGCTTTCGCTCCCGTAATACGTGCTCGAATCAAACCTTCACGGGCCGGAGAGTGAATCACACGGACTAATCCATCGGGGTAGTTAGCCCGCAAATAGTTATCTAGTTTGTCTTTCAGCTCCGGTCTCAATGTGCTGCCATCGTCCACTAAAATTATCTCCTTGATCAACTCTTTTGGTGAACGTTTTAAAACTCCGATGAAAGTGCGTAACAATGTGCTCCAGTGCTCCTCAAAAAAGGGAATGATAATAGAAGCAGTGGGTAGTTTGCGCAGATACGTTAGCGATTGACATTTGGGATGCCGAATATCACCCACGGAACGATCAACTGCAATCTTGTCACTGATGTAAATATTAAAACCATTCTGATTGAAAAATTTCTCTGATATCTTCTTCTCTTCCCCCGTGAGATGTACGGGCCGACCATGTTCTCCGGGGCCATCACGTTTTGATTCCAAGATCTTTAATTGTTCATCTTCCCAAGAAACAAGCTCTCCGTTCGAGTTCACAGGCGCTGGGGCAGGTGCGGGTGGTGCTGGGGGTTTGGCGGGAAACATTAGATAAAACATAGTCGAACAAGTGAAGAAGAATATCCCCGATAAGGCAAGAAATTTTAGAAGTCGAGCAGGTCGCATTCTCATGATGCTCAGGTGATTTGAAGATTATCTAGTAGATGGTATTTTCATTGACCAATCACGATGATCGGCGAAAATGGGAACTGCAAAATTAAAAAATATACAGCAGTGTTATCAACTTTTATTGAAAGCAAGCATTAGAAAGCATCATGTTGATGAACAGGTTCATGATATGCAGTCGAGAAACGTAACACTTATTGGCCTTTTATTGGAAACCTTAGCAACTCTATTCATGCTCTACTCATAGCTCTTTGGTGGCGAGAGTAACTTCATCGAACAGAGGGTCTGAAAGCCTATATATAGAGAGAGAGAGCTCAAATCGAGTTGATGAGCAAGAAATAACAAGCTCAGACAACGGGAGAGGGAAATTCCTTGCATCACGCCACGCATACATCCAAGAATAGGTGTATGAACTGGTTTCAGGAGATCCTGACCACGAAAGTGACCTGTTTGATATACTGAACGTGTGAACTACACCCGAAAGGTAGATGACTCAACTGGAGAACTCTGAATGGTAAT